CTGAACGACCATTAGGTCGGAACGATTTAAGACTCATGATTTAATGTCATTTCTCAGATCATTTCCATTTATCATTGTCTCTAATTCCTAGCAGTGAAAGTTCTCATGATGGTCCCATGCCCACATATAATGAACAACACCAAGTAACGTGGGAGCCTTAAAATATTATCTGTTATAATCCCATCAACTATTCGAGTACCTGTTTTCCTGTATGAAAGACACACTTTGACACACACGTGGTTTTACTCACTCTGAAAATGAAGATGACATCCCTTGTCAAGGTGAAGAAATGAGCGAGGTAATTTTCCCGTTCATTACACACGGTTATTCTTATCTCCTCCCTAAAGATGCTCACCCACCCAGCGGTCATTATATCTCTTAATACCCCGGCTTCAATACAACCACCATAACTTTAATAAAGTTTGCTATTATTATCAGCTAATTTAATTGAAATGATTTCAATGAGTTAATTTTCCTCATCATGTGTCTGGAGCGGCGTTTTCTCCACCCCTTAGGACTGATAAGTAATTGAAAACAAACTTGAGAAAAATTGCCTCATTCACCTTGCGTGGTTTAATAGCAGAGAGGAATGGGGAGGCTTTGTGTGTGCTACAATGACCGGAATGCCCACACTGGGACCCGACTGATAAGATCTAAACACACCTCTGGGCGGGGGTGGCTTCCCTTTGGTAACTGTAATTAGGTACTAACATCATTGTGCTACTCGTGAAGACACGGGGAAATTGCACTGATGAGAAAAGACCCATGGTTGTGTGTGGATTGATAATGCAGTTTGCCATCTACGCTGTTGCTCTTTTTTCACTAATGAAACTTACGCAGGCAGATTTTCGCCTTCCATCGATCTATTATTTTGTTACAAGTACATTTTTGCGATGACTTTTACCTAACAATATATTCTGTAAATAATACATGTAGTCTATGGTGCTAAAACCACAATAATAATACCACAATAGATAAAAAGAAATTTGTTTACACAGAGATTGATGATAATAATAATAATAATAATAATAATCTTTATTGGAGAAATCGCAACCCGAAGGTTGAAGTTGTACAATTACATATATGAATATTTAAGTCAAGGAAGCCTGGTCATTTTTGCACTGGTGCACTCCGTAGGCGGTCTCACCTCCCTGGGGAGCATACAGCTCGGCTGCCATATAAGGCGCTCATAGCTAATATAACATTTCTACCCTGCCTGACCAGGCCCCTGCTTCAACCCCTTTATGCTGAGTGCCAAGCGGGGAGACAGCAGGTACCGTTTATAAAGGACTGGTATATCCCCGGACGGGATTTGAACCCACGTCCTCCCGCTCCGGAGGCGGACACTCTAACCACAAGGCCATCCGGTCGGTACTGATACGTTATGCTTTGCAATTTTTTATGATATTGAATATTACCGTAATTGTTGTTTGATGGTCGAGAAAAAAAAAAACAGAAAAAAACAGCTTTTCCGATTATATTTCGGTTACAAATCCCAAATAAATGGATGATAAATGGACAAATAGGGAAGAAAAAGTGAATGAAAAAGATCACAAATTCATATAAAACGACTCGATTGGGGGAAAAACAACATAACAGTGAGTGACAAAAACCTTACAAGGATCATTCTGAACAATATATTTTCTTTTATGAAAGGAAGATACTTTTCATCTGGTTTCATTTATTTCTTCTCCTTTACATTTAGTTGGCAATGATTACTATGAAATCAGTCTCAAGCTCAGAACCAACAGAAATAATCGACGCAATAAGAAAACTCACAAACATGCAATATTATCATTGACATTGCCGTACATTTTCGTAGTTTTATTAAGCTGTCAATGTGAAAAGTATCTTCCATAATTTTCCATTCCCCAAACACACCCACATCAAATATCTTCACAAACCCAAGTTCAACGACATTTCAAAATTGTTACTTTAATAATTTCCGGATAGATCAGATACCTAATACAGGAAGCACGGAAGAGAGCCGTAATTAAATCTCGATGACATGTGTCAGCCGGATGATTTGGTATGGTGGCCCCTATTGGATATTTCGACTTTTCGACTTTTAGAGTTTGCGACTTTTCGAGTTTGCGANAGACAGATAGTCGTGCGTGTGTAATCCTGTTTGTGTGCAGGCGCGTGGTTTTCTCTGGAAAAATGACATCAGTTAGTATGTAACTTCTGAACGACCATTAGGTCGGAACGATTTAAGACTCATAATTTAATGTCATTTCTCAGATCATTTCCATTTATCATTGTCTCTAATTCCTAGCAGTGAAAGTTCTCATGATGGTTCCATGCCCACATACAATGAACAACACCAAGTAACGTGGGAGCCTTAAAATATTATCTGTTATAATCCCATCAACTATTCGAGTACCTGTTTTCGTGTATGAAAGACACACTTTGACACACACGTGGTTTTGCTCACTCTGAAAATGAAGATGACATCCCTTGTCAAGGTGAAGAAATGAGCGAGGTAATTTTCCCGTTCATTACACACGGTTATTCTTATCTCCTCCCTAAAGATGCTCACCCACCCAGCGGTCATTATATCTCTTAATACCCCCAGCTTCAATACAACCACCATAACTTTAATAAAGTTTGCTATTATTATCAGCTAATTTAATTGAAATGATTTCAATGAGTTAATTTTCCTCATCATGTGTCTGGAGCGGCGTTTTCTCCACCCCTTAGGACTGATAAGTAATTGAAAACAAACTTGAGAAAAATTGCCTCATTCACCTTGCGTGGTTTAATAGCGGAGAGGAATGGGGAGGCATTGTGTGTGCTACAATGACCGGAATGCCCACACTGGGACCCGACTGATAAGATCTAAACACACCTCTGGGCGGGGGTGGCTTCCCTTTGGTAACTGTAATTAGGTACTAACATCATTGTGCTACTCGTGAAGACACGGGGAAATTGCACTGATGAGAAAAGACCCATGGTTGTGTGTGGATTGATAATGCAGTTTGCCATCCAGGCTGTTGCTCTTATTTCAATAATGAAACTTACGCAGGCAGATTTTCGCCATCCATCGATCTATTATTTTGTTACAAGTACATTTTTGCGATGACTTTTACCTAACAATATATTCTGTAAATAATACATGCAGTCTATGGTGCTAAAACCACAATAATAATACCACAATAGATAAAAAGAAATTTGTTTACACAGAGATTGATACGTTATGCTTTGCAATTTTTTATGATTTTGAATATTACCGTAATTGTTGTTTGATGGTCGAGGAAAAAAAAACAGAAAAAAACAGCTTTTCCGATTATATTTCGGTTACAAATCCCAAATAAATGGATGATAAATGGACAAATAGGGAAGAAAAAGTGAATGAAAAAGATAACAAATTCAAATAAAACGACTCGGTTGGGGGAAAAACAACATAACAGTGAGTGACAAAAACCTTACAAGGATCATTCTGTACAATATATTTTCTTTTATGAAAGGAAGATATTTTTCATCTGGTTTCATTTATTTCTTCTCCTTTACATTCAGTTGGCAATGATTACTATGAAATCAGTCTCAAGCTCAGAACCAACAGAAATAATCGACGCAATAAGAAAACTCACAAACATGCAATATTATCATTGACATTGCCGTACATTTTCGTAGTTTTATTAAGCTGTCAATGTGAAAAGTATCTTCCATAATGTTCCATTCCCCAAACACACCCACATCAAATCTCTTCACAAACCCAAGTTCAACGACATTTCAAAATTGTTACTTTAATAATTTCCGGATAGATCAGATACCTAATACAGGAAGCACGGAAGAGAGCCGTAATTAAATCTCGATGACATGTGTCAGCCGGATGATTTGGCACTAATGACTGTGTTCCTTGCAATTTCACCGTAGACCAGTCCACACTGAAGTGTGCGTGATCCTAACACTGATAAGACGAGATAATATCATTGTAAAATCTCAATTTTCGTCGGAGAAGCGTTGTTATTAACGTAACTTTAATGCCATTTTTTCCGCCTATTTCACACCTCACTAATGGGGGTTGCCGGGCTGAGGTCACCCAGTAAAGAAAAGCAGGGCCCGCCATTATAAAGTGATGAGCTTGAAACACCAAGAATAAAATAGGACTTATATTATACTATATTACACGATATAGGCATGAATTTCAGCCTAGGTCAACGACAATACTAAACGAGTGAAGTGTTGATAAAAGGGAGCCATCCCGAACGTCCAATGTGCCTTTGGCTTTCTTCTATGAAACGTGCAGATGCATGTACTCGCAGATCAGTTGTTTTGAATCGTATGAACTGTTTTCATGTTTATCCGAACAACAGGGTATTTTCTGATATAACTAACTTCTTAATATTACGTTGCATTTCAAATTTCAAATTTACACAACAGCGCGGAATTTGGGGTTCATTCAAAACACGGACCTATGTCCATTTTCTAAACTAATCGTATCCTTTGCTAGCCGTATTTCGAATTAATTTTTATTCAATTTAAATTCAGAAGAGATTTTCCTTTTCGTGGTTGTTTGTTGCAAGCTGACAATTAGTTCAACGCACAACCATAAACATTTAACAACACCAGCTATATCATTTTACACATATTTTATTTCATATTAACATAAAATAACTTAATCAAAACGATCAGTATTATGAGAGGTAACGACATGCTTAACATTTACTAGCTCTAAACATTTAGGAAGTTCTGCGTGGAATCGCAATGTCTCATCTGTTATTAACTACAATAGTAGAACCCTCCTAGGGATTATAGTAACGAGAGACGTATGAACATTTTTCAAAAAACATTTCTAAACTTTCGTGTATCCTTTTAAGCAGAATGTTCCACTCTTAGCTTGCGTAATTCCATTAGCAAAATACTTTTGCTTTAAGATAAACATGTGTTGGTTTACACGTTAACAGTTCAATGGAGTTCGCTTTCGGTACTCTTCGTATCAGCGAGTTTCAGCTAAGTCCAGGGATTTCTAGGCATTCTGTGGTATTTTTTCACTGATATTGATTATCATATGGTCTACATCTTCTGGCTGTAAAGAGAAATGAAAAGAAAATTAAGTTACATGATTTGAAAGCCTTTATATCAAAAATTTTACCAACATTTCTGGTTTCTCTTATACATTGGTAAGGGAAGATTAATCACAAAATTAACCAAAAGTACTTTAATAGTGAATTCATAAGATGTTTATGTTTAAATAGCAGTCAGACAGAAAAAGTACTTAAGGAAGAATATCAGAAGAATACACACCTTATTTGATATGGCACGATAAGGTACTGCGAAGGGAGACGACATCGCTACAAGTCCACATTGGCACCACATATTGGAAATTATCACAGTCAAGAAGTATGGAAAGTCAATGGTGTTTCCAAAAGCATATCTGCTTCAAGTTTATATGTTTAACTGTGATATTTAGTAAGCACTGCCGATGCTGCCGCAGTCACTTGCACTGTCATCATCTTCGGATTCGCAGCCAGATTCTTCACTGTGTAGGAGATCTAGCTGTCTCAGTCTCTGCTGTTGTTTCTCTAGGCTTTGCTTCCTCCATTTAATACGGCGGTTCTGGAACCACACCTTTACTTGGGCGTCAGAGAGGTTGAGCGTCGCGGCCAGGTAGGATCTTTCGGAGCCGACCATGTATTGCTGTTTTTCGAATTCTGCTTCCAGACGCTCTAGTTGCTCTGGGGTGAAGATGGTGCGGACGCGCTTGGATTTGTTCTGTTTCCATTCGGATACGGAAGACTTCATATCGGCTTTACCTGAAGTGAAAACGTGACATAAGTAATATGTTCGGCTAAAGTCAGTAATTGAAAATACTTTTTATTTCAAAAGGAATGCCCATGTAATACCTTTAATTCATACTAATCAATTACCTCTAGTAGCATTAGTAATGAAGCCAAGGTAGACTCAATTAGTGATGAAGTAAAATTGAGTAACCAATCAACAGACAAAATTGTGGTCAGGACTTTTCACGGATAATTTCGTTCTTTGTGATGTTGAAAGAGAAATATGATCGGAACTTCGATCTGTTCGCAGTGGGGGAGAACGAGTCATGTTATCGACCAAAACCACGCAGGGGAGTCAACCCTTTCCGGGACCATTGACTTATGATCGAACGCGCCGCAACACCTATCGGTTTATTAGGGCCTGACGGCATCATTAGACCAACTGATCTTCCTTGCAGGTGGTAGTAAATTCAATCGAATATATCGATTTCAACACCTGTGTCAAAAGCTGTATTTATTTTGTAAGTTTGTATTATTATTATTTTCTTTCTTTTTTTTTGTGATAATATGTAAAATTAAAGTTTTTCCCTTTTTTACAGCAGGGGAATCACATAAGTCGCTTCCTTTATTAAGCGTCTTTTTGACACGTTTAGTAATATCAATATCGTAATATTGAAAAAATTCTCATAGGTGAAATATTCGGTGTTGCTGAATTAGAAAAATTATAAAACATGGTATATCTGTTTTTTTTATTCAGACACAACACATTTTAACCCGGAATTTTTACCTCAACCCTAATAAAAATACATATTAAAAGATATATTTACCTTTTGGAAGATTAAGTGCACTGCGGAAACCATTGTGTGCTGAGGACAGGTAAGGGTGGACGCTGTCCACTCTCAGGTCACTTTCTGGTCTTGTGTTTTCTTTTTCCCCATCTCTTCCCAGGATGGCGTCAATCATGAAGGACTTGCTGGCCTTGCTGGGGCGGTAGCTGAGCTGGTTGGCCGCGTACGGTGAGTGCAGGAAAGCGGGGTGCAGTTGCGGCTGGCCTAGGACGTTGAAACCAGCGGGGAAGGCATTGGCCAGGGCCATCTGGAACATTGGGTTCTGCTGGAGAGCGCTGATCGGGAGGTGAATCTGGTTCTGCATCTTTTCTTGTCGTTGATGATCTTCTCAGTCAAAGTCACTAGGAAGTTGAAGTCACTGCCGACTGCTGATTAGATTCAGGTACAGCGAGCTGTGCAAGTTGCGGAATGAATGTACACACTCCTTCAATGGCCCTCCTTTTATACAGGTTGGCGGAATGCGAGCAACAATGCTGGCACGACTTGACCAATCACAGGCCATCTAACAGTATTCATTAAGAGCGAGGGGGGTCTCATTAAGGTGGATGTTCGATAAATATTGATAAAATTGGGTCAATGCCCATTTTACTACAAAGTGTTAAGTCACAATCCTTTTATTGTCCTAATTAGGAACTTACCTCCCCGGAGATCTCCCCAAGTCTGGACTGGTTTAGGACGAAGTTAGGGTCTTTTTGTGGGCTGAAATTGGTGTTAAGTGATCATTACTAGTAAGACAGATTCTGCAGTTTAAAGACTGACATAGGATGAATTAGTTAAAGTAATGTGAATGTGAAAATATTCGCTATACACTATCATCAAATTTTGGCGTTAATTTTAAACAGAATGTAAAGATGTGTTGAAGTAAAGCAAAGTAGTTTTCAATCTGAAAAACCTTTTCAGTGGTGCATTTTATTTGGAAAAAATAATTTTAAGTGCACATGTTTTATCTCTTCCCACAAATGTGTGATTTTAGGAGGCATTTTGTTAGAGCTGCAAGCATATGTTATCCATGTAGTAGACGGCACGACGGAAATAAACCTGAAAAAAAATAATGTCAAAGAGCCGTATTTTTTTTCAGATATATTACTCAGATATGGTCTCATCATAAGATTAAGCAAATGGGCAAACACGATTATAAGAAGCACATTGCATTAAAGATGTTGAAAAATAAATTATTAGTATGCACGTGAATTATTAAACATATTTTTCAGTGTGCAAAAATTTGATAGATGAAAAAGAGAATTTAGGAGAAATACAGATAAAACAGGATGCATTATTGTAAATAATAGGATGCTTACTTGCAAGTAACAAAAAAAAAAAAAAAAAAAAAAAAAAATCAAAAGTTAGTAAAGATTGCTTTTCTCACAATATGCGAAATTCAGACGAAAAGCAAATACTTCACCGGCGGCACTGATTGTAGTAAACAAAAAGTAGTAAACATTTGCCGGGTAATCGGTGTGTAATAACTCGCATAACAATAATATTTAAGAATTGCAATTTTACAGTCCTCTGGTCAAAAAGCACCGCACCTAAAGATGATGACTTTCGAGAAAACCGCAGCCATATTTTGGTAGCGATGATTGGGTTCCACAGTTTGTCTTTAAGTTGGAGAACCCCTTAATCCGTTTAACGGTGAAGTCAACGAGGTGTTGTGGTTATTACCTATTCAAGGTGAGTCAATGTACACAATAACAAGGCTAATCAAAGGAGGAGCCTACCATCTACTTAGAAGATTAGTTGTTTTAAACTGATTAAACATGTACAGCGTAATTTACACTGAAATACCTGATCAAAGAGATCATACCTACGTGCGGTGGAAGGTGAAAGGTTTGGCCCTGGTTCCAAAAACAGTAGTACTGTCTTTGTTGAATAAAAGGTCGTTCACCACAATAATTCCGTCAAATTAACTGAGTGTTCATTTTCGAAAAAAAGGGGGATTTGAATGCCTCGATAAGTTTGAATAAAACGAAGTAGACTGAGGCAACTAAAGAGAAGAGCGACGGAAGTCAGGCACTACTGCTCTCGCCCGGGATCACGATTATAGCCGCATTTCGAACGAAAAAATTCAAGCGATAGATTCAGACAATATCGCTATCTATTTCTGAGAAGGTTAACAAATGTTGTGTTCTTCCTTCAATGAATAATAGATAAATTCATCTTCTATTAATTCCGAGTAATTACGATTTCTTTGTGATTAATGGCCGTTTAATTATTGGAACCCGGCGTTCATCAGACGTATAATAACAGGCTCAGGCAGGATTGATGACCTTTAAAACGGGTAACTTTTCCTATTAATTGTTTCAGGAACCCGCTTAATTTTTCTCACTATTGTACAAATCGCCTTCATAGCCTTCTAATAGTTCTCAATAACAGTTGATGGGGTCCTTTATTTGGACATCATTACACAAAGAAGTTGACAGTTCAGATTTATAAGGCGCCGCGAAAACAAAGAAATAGCGTGGTCGCTAGCAAGCGCAAGTTGAAGAGAAAGAAATATGAAGTAAAAAATCACTAACTGTCACGCACATGTTCGATTTTTTCCCGTTAATATAAAATATACAAGTACAAGTAAATTTGCCCTACTACCGTTTTATGAAAAATAGTGAATTTTAAATGAAAATAACAAAAACCTCTAGCGCTAGTGTGGTATTTTCCCCATTATACACTACCAGAAAAAATATAAAAATATATCAGCGTCGCAATACAATCAAATCAATTATTAGAATATATCTAAGGATAAGAAAAATATTAAAGTAAATGTATGCAATATCTATTCTATCTTGTCAACGCATTTTGACTTCCCAAAGTATAACTGCTTATACTTTGAATGACATTTAAAAGAAATTAACTCCGATCAAAATGAAATGATCTCAAGGCGTCCGGCGTCTAATGCTTACGCAGGCAATCAGTGTTGGTAGCAATGGGAGTAATTATGCTTTTTCAATCGAAATCTAATAAACTTTGGGGGTAGTTTAAACACTGTGAGGTACAGCACAGTGAACAGAAATGAATTGAAACGGCATTTAGGAATATAGATTGAATATTGATCTTACCACCACTGAGAGATTATAATAGCCAAACGCACGTGCGTTGCCCATCGGTTTGTTTTACCTCCCTCTTCCTTTTGTTTTAGTCGCTTTATCAACTAATCAGTCTATTATAATGTTCATAATGGGGTATTATAATAAAGCAATAACGCATCGGCACAATTACAACTGATGATTAGCCAAAAATAAGTGATTACATGAGTTCTGACGTCAAAGACTGACCATCGATATGAGCCAAACCAGCAAAACAGGAAGGTTGAATGCATTCATTTACAATAAAAATCTGTTTTTGATTGCGTGCACTTGTTCTATGTATGTAGCGACACAACACGGTGGTGACAGGAGTCACAACAACAATTAAATCACTTCCATGTAAATTTGCATACTGATAAAAAGAATGAAAGGGGGTACATTCAAGGATCAGAAAATAAATAAATAAATAAATAAATAAATAAATAAATTGTCCCCAGTTTAGCCAAATGTATCTAAGTTAGTCCTCGAAGATGCCAAAGATTATGGTGTTGCCAAGCAGGAGTGTAGGGGTACGATATTTGTCACACTTTGCTAAGCAGATATGAAACAGAAGACGAGGACAATTTAACTACATATGTAGGGCACAGATATTGAAAAAATTGATTTTCTCTCGTTCTGAGGGAGAAGGGGGTATCTCAGACGGTTAGGGAAATAAGTGTCCAATGGATTATCTATTGCACCCACATACAAATAATAATAACTGATTTAATCGTAAATAATAATTCCAATCCTTTTTGTTAGAGCTTGTAACATTTATTTAATGGATCCCAGATGAAATCCTGATTGTGTTAGCTGTGCTTTAGTTTACACGGCACTGCACCAGCTTTTGACATATCGAAGAAATCAATTTCCTCTTCAGGAGTACAGTAAGATTCCTTTATAACGTGTGTTTTTTTTTCCAAATTAGCGTCAAACAGCACAAATATCTACATGTAAAATTTGGTTTTGCATCATAGATCTAAGTAGATTTATTTCAGTGTTTTACGATGTAGAAACAATAAGCACCATATAATCGTCCGATTCTTGAAATACATGAATTAATTCAACTCAATATAGGGTGTATTAAAATTATTATTTTTTCTTACTTTTACAATAAATAAAATTTGTCAAACACTGGTTATTATCACTATTTCAAAGGTTCAAGATCCTGCTATTTCAAAATATGCCAGGAAAATGCTAGATCACCTGAGAGAAAACTAGAACTGTAGACAATGCAAAATCTGCAGCATCACAATTTATTATTAAAAACAGTTCTCTGTCCACTTTTTAAAGAAGTTTACTAACTTCAAGACACTAATTTCACTCTGTCTTGAAGCATCTTCAGTCTTGGATTTTTTCGTACTTTCTTCTCAAACTTTGCCAGAATTCTGTCCTCTGGTTTATTATTGTCATATGAGGAGTATTCTGCCAGCACCTAAAATACGACATTTGAATAAAGTGTCTAGAAAATTGCACACAAGTGTATAACTTAAATAAAAACTGCTTTAAACTACCTATAAAAAGCAATTACAATTAACATAACACATAAAGCAGCTATACCTTTACTAATTTGACTAACAGGAGTTGTAAATTTATGTTTTAACACTGAAACTGAAGAACAATTTTACCTTTTTCCTAAGTTTCTTTAAAGACAATTCTTGGTCAGTTGCCGCAGATAACACCTGGCAGATGACATCCTCCCATTTAAATTTCCCCTTCTTTAAAAGATCATCTGTCTCCAAAGTGTCATTCAGCTTCACTGTATTTTCTGTTTCTGAAGAAGCAACATTTCCAATCCAACAAAAGCCATCAATATAGAGAAAATACAACTATGCATTTCCTCAGGGTATTGAATATATCAGCATGACTGATTATTTGCTACAAATACAACAATAAATACAAAATATGTGCATTATGCATGGTTATAATTTGGACTTAACTGTCAGGAATTTTTACTAATATCTATGCATACCAAAAAGGAAGCACTTAATAAATACCACTACTATACAGTTCAGCATAATTCACAATGCATCTTGGTAAGTGTTACTTCTCATTTTACCTGTACATGACTTCATCCTTTTGCTTTTTCCATTTTCAGAGATCCCAAACTTATCATCCAGTTCCTCCTGTTTTCTTTTCTTCTTCTTCTTCTTTTTATGCTTTCCAAGACTAAACTCTCCATTTTGTGAGCACTCAATATCATTTACACTGTCAGATGATCCAAAATTGTTTGTTTCTGTGTCAGATATGTCTCCCCTTTTCCTTTCCTTTTCTGCTGATTTTTTCTTCTTTTTTCCATTTTGCTCTTGTTCATGGGGTTGTGTGGTACCGTTTCCTGTTCCAACTACAATGGTACTGGGAGCCTCAGATGGCTTGGGTGTGCCATTTTCACTTTCTTTCTCATTCTACAAAATACATATAACACATAGAATTCACACTGACAGAACTATCCATTTAATGAATCAAGTGTCCAATTCTTCTCTACAGGATAATATGAATTTGCGAAAGAGACATGAATGACATCAAGTACATATAATCTGATACAGCATCTGGTGACAATATAGTTTCCCAACCATGAACCTGTTGATTATTTTAGTTCATAATCAAACTTTTCTGTACAAAACAATGCATAATTACCTTATTTTTCTCTGATAGCAAAATGTCCCATACTTGTTTGATTAAACTGTTATCTGACACTCGTAAACTGTTTCGCACAAAATTCTGCAAGGAAAAAAATACAATGCTTCTTTCTATTTTCATAAAACAGTAAAAAAAAATGATACAAACATGCACAAACAAAACTTGACAGCATTTGGGGCAGCAATTGAAGAAAAAATTGAAAGTAAAATATGACTAATCTACCCACCTCAAACTTTGCTTGCTTTCTTGGAATGTTGGCATAATCTTTCATGCGAATCAACAGGTTTCGCAATTTTGGATTAGCAGATGCTTTGTCAATTGCTTCTTGAACTTGCTGTGGAATATGGAAAAAGACGTTACGTGTTTCTTTCAAAAAGATGGTAATAAAACAAAAATGTGCATGCTGAGGTTTAGATATTTTGTTGAGGACATTCTCAGTGACAATGAGCCACAGTCTAAGATCCTTTTTTTATCATCCTATGTTTATACATCATACTGAACAAAATCTTTTTTATGACCAAGTTAGCCATTATTTTGCTTACTAAAGAATTAAAAAATATTTTCCATGTAACGTCATAATAAATTTCTGTTAGTTTTTCTTTACTTAAGAAGGTCATGTTTGTTTTATTATGATCTCTACCTGGGTCCATTGTTCCTGTTTAACTTCTCCTTTGTTTGTCCCAGGTTTGGGTTTGTAGTTTTTTCCAGAGTATTTTTCCTCCTCAGAAATACATTTCACATGTTCCTGGTAGGCCTCACCCCTGAGCAATGAAGATACATGGAGCTACATATAATAATTCAGTACCAATGATGCATTTTAAAGTAAAAGCAACTTCACTTATCACGTATTTTTCAAAACATTATTTTCATACATTATTTACATTTTTTAAAAAAATCTTTAAATAATCTATAATTAATGACTGCTTCATGATACGAACATAATGCAGGCAGAATTTAGCCAGAAAATAATGCCATCTCACCAGAAGTCTTTTCCACAATCCACACAAGACAGCACTTCACAGTTCCGGCATTTTGTCATGTAATGTTTCTCTACCTGATTCTTCTTCAGTGACTCTCCACAAGCATTACACGTGAAAAACACCATGATAAAGACGAGTGCAGAATCTGCAGTTAGGAGCCCTGAAAAATACCATACCTACTAGTAAATATTATGTACTCATATGTTTACTAGTATAAGCATTATCTAAATTTTCAAAACCTGATACATGTAATTGTGCAGTGTCCCTAGTCTAATGCTGGCATGCTAGTGTTTAGAGGAGTAGCAGATTAGTGATATAATTACAATAAGTTGATAACTGCATTAATCTTTCACGAGGCACACTAAAAATTATAAAGTATTATTATCAAATGTAACTCAAGCAAAATGAACTAAAATAACTCTGTACCATGTAGGTAGATATAGCATATACTGTGTAATCCGACAAATATGACATCTACACGTTTATAAGCTAAGATTAAATGGGTACATTATGCAATCTTACGTACTACTATCTTTAAACTGTGGCTAAAAGTGCTGCTACTGTTACAGTGGTAATTGAAATAACAATACCATATACACTACAGCTACTGGTACCAACGTGCTCCTTGGTTTTTAAGTATACGAATACTTGACGTTCATTTCGATTTTTCATCATGTCTAGAATACATATTATAAGGGCATACAGATATTAGAAGGTATGTGCTTTTACTTACCAGGCTTTTAAAGAACAAATAAATGTTTTGAGTGTAGTCCACATGCACACGACACAGAGTTGGCCTACTTTTTCACTTTAAGTTTCGAGCACGATGGAACTCTTTTTTTAATGGAGGCACATTAGGTGGGTTGTGGCTGTTATTTAATTTAAACATTTGCATCCCGCTGGTATAGATTAGACTTAAAATGTTTCATATCTATCAAAGAATGTATACCATCAAAAATAAAACAAATAAAAGAAAATGTTAATAGAAATGGAAAAATGGCATGATTGTGACATTTTATCCATTTTTTTTTGCATATGAAGCTAAGAATTTTCTTGTACAGGAGGGAGGAGTGGTGGCATATCAAACGGCAACCGTCTGGTTTATGATTCATTATTTTTAAATACAATAGGAATTTGAGGAATTTCAGGTGAAAATCATATCTAAGCTTGGGTTAAGCTGGGGGTTTCGGTTCTGGAGTAGTCTGCTCCTGTGCAGGTAGGTAAATTATAGATAAAATTTAGTATTCAAGGAAAACTTAACTTAGGAATTTCTTGTAATGAATCTATGTCTTACCAATTCGATAAACATTCCAAGTCTGCGAAGGCCTTGGATCATGTAGAATAAATCTGTTCTCCCAACCCCTTTGAAATTGCTTTTACTGTGCAATTTCTTTGTAGTGAGTTGTTTAGATATTCAAAAACAAAGTTCATGGTGTAATTGATAAATACAACGTCACCTGTATATTCCACTTAATTACTGGTTCATATTCTAATTCAACGTGAACGAGTTCTTCAGTAAATTAATATGTTACAGCATCAAACCTTTAAACCTTATCATTAAAAGAGGGTCTTTTAGTGCATTTCATTTCCAGAGCATTATATCCGAGGGTATTTCACATTCTGATTTCATGTGTTTCTTGTTTTTCAGGACGCTAGCAAAATGACAACCCTGACAACTTCTCCTACAGGGTCCATCCAGATTAAGTGGGACCCAAAGAATCTGGAAATTCGTACAAAATCTGTGGAGAAAACATTAGAACCATTAGTTACACAGGTAACTGGAAGTGTTAAACTTAAAAAAATTGAGTTGTAATAGTGTAGGCAAGAGTATGAAAAATGTTTCTTGTGAATTTTGAATGACCAGATTGGTTATACATTTGTATGATAACACACAGTATGTGAATTCACATTAACATCACAAGAAATGTTATTAAATTTGACTGAAAAACAGTATAGATATACTGTTTCTGGTGTGCATTAGGTTACTACCCTGGTCAACCAGAAAGGCCCCTCAAAGAAGAAGAAAGGAAGGTCTAAGAAGGCCCATGTATTGAGTGCGGCAGTACAGAAAGCTACAGAAAACTTTATTGTCCGTGGAAGAGAAATAGCAGAAGAAAATCCAGAAGTCCGAAATGAAATGCTTGCAGCTGTGGATGAAGTCACAAAAACAGGCGAGTACGGAGTTGAGATCTGCATTAAGATTCCCAGGTTTATATTTAATAAATTTTACTGAGACTGCAAGAATTACATAGATATATAATTAGCAAATTATGACTATTTTCAGTTTTATTATATATTTAAGAAAACATCTTGTAAAATGAGTCAAACCTCCACAGTTTGGTATGAGTGTCTCAATTAAGATAAAATTGAGAACCACTGTCGATTTTTAATGTGTATTTATATATATCTTTTTTTCAGGTGATCAGATGCGCACTTCCTCACAAGAGTTTGCTGATGATCCTTGTTCCTCCATGAAGCGTGGTGCCATGGTGCGTGCAGCCAGGGCGTTATTATCTGCTGTCACACGTCTACTCATCCTTGCAGACATGGTGGATGTTCATCTGCTGTTGAAATCTCTGAGAATTGTAAGCAACATTGATCATTAATTGTTTTGCTGATTAATAATGAAGTAAGGTACAAATTAATTTACGTTTCCAGTCCTGCACATGGTTTTTTTCCTTAGGTCAGTTTGGGAACAAGAGAGGTTTAAATTGTCAAAAGGGAATAATTTGGGAATACATTTATATAGAGATGTTTTGCTTTTATAGGTTGAGGATGATCTGGAACGTATCCGCAATGCTACAAGTCAGCAAGAACTGATGAAGGAATTCAAAGAATTTGGAAAGAATGTGGTGGATTTGGTAGAACAAGCAGGCAGAAGGCAAGCTGTAAGTACTTACAACATGAAGTAGGCCAGAATGAAAAAGGATATAAACTAGGGTAATTGCATGATACTGTATCTCATGAATCTAATGGAATTATGTGTGAATAAGAGTTGTTAATTGACATTGAGCAATATTTCATTGATATGAATGTTAATAAATGACAGTTGCAAATTTGGTTTTCCAAAATAAAATTTTTGAAGTTCATGTTCAGATGTGATCGTTATTCCAGGATCTGAAAGACCCTCGTCTTAGAGATGACTTGGCAGCAGCCAGGGCTACACTGAAGAAGAACAGCATGATGCTGCTGACCACTTCCAAGGTATGTCACTGTCATAAGTAAATGATGCAGTGGGTTGGTATCACGGATAGACAAGACAATTTTTATTATTGTTTACTTATGAATAATCAATTTATCAGTATCTACATGGAGCATTATTATGTTAAAATACATAAAAAAGATGCTCTTTTTTGGTATTTAGAATAACATTAAAGTTTTGTTGATTAACATTGCACTTCAAACATGAAGTCAGGTACATGCCAAAATATGCTTTTTAAAGCAATAATAACTCTTCGTTTCGACCAAAAAATGAATTTTCCTGGAGTAAACAACAATTTTCCCATACTTACCAATGGTTAAAGAATCTATTTTTACATTCAAAGTTAGTCCCTGTTTTTTTTCTAAAACGTTTGGTTTTTTGTTAAAATCTCTTAAGAGATTTTAACAGAGTATAGACATCAATGGAGGTCACGTGGTCTAAAGACAAGTTCAAATATCAGAATAAAAGCTATAACTGCTGTTTTTGTGGTAAAACAGAATATGTTATATTTCTATGAGTTATTCACAAGGTTTTTATAGTGAAATATAGGTCTCATACGAAGAGTTATTATCCCTTTAAGCTTACCACTGATTTGTTTGGCCATGTTAAAACTTCTTAACAGAACCTAAATTCAGTTATTTTATTCCCCCTTTCTGCCAAAATCAATGCATGTTTTGTATGATTTTTTTTATATTTTCCCAGGCCTATGTGCGCCATCCAGAGTTGGCAGCAGCGAAGGCTAACCGTGACTTTGTCCTGAAACAAGTGTGTGATGCTGTGAACACAATCAGTGGGGTGGCCCAGGCTACAGGACAATCTGATGCACATCCATTTGAGGGCCCTGGAGAACTGGCTGCAGCCCTGGATGAATTTGATGTATGTTTCTCATGTTTTTATCTAAATATGTGTGTATTAGTTTTATGTTGGCTTGATTTCACACAATTAACAATTTTCGGGTATATATTCAAAACTGAAAGAAGAAAAAATGATATTTGATGTAAAACATGATATTTGTCAGGAAGGAGCGATGTTTTGTTTAGTTCAGTTTTCTTTCTTGTACAAAATGTGAATGTCAGCAACTAAAGTGGTGTTTTAATAACCCATATTAAATTCCTCACTATAGCAAAAGATAATCATGGATCCACTGAATTACAATGAAGTGCGCACAAGACCTTCTTTGGAGGAGCGCCTTGAGAGCATTATCAGTGGTGCAGCTCTGATGGCTGACTCTTCTTGCACACGCGATGAAAGACGAGAAAGGATTGTTCAGGAATGTAATGCAGTCAGACAAGCCTTGCAAGATCTGTTGTCAGAGTACATGAACAATGTAAGTAAAATGTATATTGAGGTGCCTTTTAAGTAAAATAAATTTAGGCCTGGAGCAAATTTACCATTATTTGATTATTTTTAGAAAGAAAGCAATAGTTATTAAGTTTTCATAGTCTTGTTTGATCTTAAAATATTAGCATGATACACAAAGGATATTTGAATTATTCTCTGTCTAGTGTAACCAACTTGTATCAGTTATTTGATAAATTGTTGACGTTTGATCCTGTCTCTGTAACTATTTGATTCTGCAGTGTGGTAAACGTAGCAAACCAAGCTACTTTCGTGAGCAGGTAAAAGTTGCATGGGATGCAGCAAATACACCCTGCCTGCTATTGGTCATATGTATAACCATACACACAGTTTTATACAGTTACATGTATATATATATATATATATGTATATAATCTCCTGCCACCACTACCAACCTCACCAGAGCCACATCTGCATGGCTACTGCCATATCACTCACTTAGAGCATTGCAAAATCCATGTTTTTGGCCTTGTTGAAATACCTTCTGCCATAGAGCATGGTTCTGCAAGGTTACTTATTGCATCATCCATGTTTCCAGCATGGAAAAAGCATTCATTTATAGGCAAGAGCATGGACTTGCATATAGAAAAGCACTTTAGAATTTAGAGTGGATGGATATTAAAAGTGTCATGAGGAGAGATATTGAATCTAGTTAATTAAATAGTTATTTATTTATTTATTTATTTATTTATTTATTTATTTATTAATGTTTGTTTAATTTTTTTTGCACACGGGAAAGTTTAAATATGGAATTTTGTACTTTGAAAATAACAAGCACTTCCACAATAACTATTCACAAGAACAAATTGTTTTTCAGTTTTTGGTCTTTTCACTTGAAGTCATATTAAATACATTTTGTCTAGTTATCTATTATGTATTTGGGGAATCTGTGAATACATCACAAGCATCAGGTACAAAGCCATGTTGTTTTTATTATGTTTTAAATAGTGTCCTTAATGACATATAGATCAGTTGAGGTAATTTATATGTATTATTCTAAGATATTATTCTAAGTTAGTCATCCTTCACCTGCTTCATGAATAACAAAACAATTGTGGACACTAACCTATTGCTTTTAGTTGAGTTTAAAATGTTGCTATACAAACACAGCAGGCATTACTGCAAATAAATAGTGCATCACAAAAAACATTTCATTTTCTCAGAGTGTGACATTCCCATGGCTTCCAAGGGCTTTGCATATATAAAGCACTTTGTGAGGGTCATGCACCTTGAATAACACTGTGCCTTTAGAGATTCCAGTTTATGCTGGGACACATTTTCCCCTTTTTCTTACCGTAGCAGGAATTTGAGGCGTTGCAAATGTATTGTGAAAAAAGGCATTCTCATTAGATCAATAATATATGTCTTGTTATAGAATGCTTTACTGTGTAGACACTTTAGGGTGGTGTCACCTTTCACGTCTCTTACAACAAGGTAATGGTTACACAGCAGGGTATTTTAGATGCACCATGCTGATAATGACATGTGGTTTTCTTACAGGTTTTAAAAAATATAATTGCCATGTATAGATGGTTTCCCTACTTGTGAGGACTTCTAGTTTTGCTCTCTCCTTTACTGTGGGGTTTATTTTTTTTGTCATTGAAATGGTGTTTCACAGAAGGAGGCAGTTAAGCATGCATATGAAATAAATGTGTAATGAAAGGCATGATATGGGAGGATGTTCTTGCATCAAGAACAGATGATTAGACGGGGGCTCTTCAGTATATTTAAACCTCTGAGTTCACCCAACAAGGCTAAGAATACTAACAAGATCAAGATTGATTTTAGTTGCAGCTGTTGAAAAGGCTGAGTTAGATACTAAGGATATGAAATTGCAATAGAAAACTGCATGATATTGGTAAAGTCATTCAGCATGTCATATGTCATATGTCATATACAGAAGAATAACTTCTTGGTTTGTTTTGATAAAACTTATTATTTATTAGAAAAAGTCTTGGTGGAAAATATACATTGTTAGTTGATGTTACGGGAATAATAGCAATGATTTGTTTATAATTATGTTAGTGTTTTAAAATTTTGAAACTATGTAAATTTTTGAAGAAAAATTTAGAGAAATGCTTGAATCTTATTTCTTAATTTTCAGGTTGGTCGTAATGAACCAAGTGAATCTCTGGACAGAGCCATTGAACATATGTGCAAGAAGACCAGAGACCTCAGAAGACAGGTCAGTAGAATAGTGACTAAATCTTCCCAGGGCATTGGCCACCTGTAGTATGAGGACAGTACCCTTAAAATAGAGCATTACCCTCTACTCGGGGTGTATAACCTATACTGAATCAGCAATATAGTATACAAAGTAACATGTTCAAATGGCAAGATTCATGTTGTATATTTGATATAAATAAGCTGTTATTTTTTTTCAAATTTTTTATGTTCTCAGTTAAAATAAATAAACTGCAACTTCATGATTATCCAGTTATTAATGATCTGCTTTGTAAAATGAGTTTATTTTGCAAAATATATGAATTTGTGATTTATTAGTAGAAATCTTGTTTAAAAGTCCTTACGTTTATTTATTACTAGAAAGATTTGTAAGTAGAATATTCCTTTACTTTTGCAGCTGCGTAAGGCTGTGGTGGATCATGTGTCCGACTCCTTCTTAGAAACCAATGTACCACTGTTGGTGTTGATTGAGGCTGCAAAGGCTGGCAATGAGGCGGAGGTTGAGGAATATGCTCAGGTGTTCACAGAGCATGCTAACAAGCTGGTTGAGGTGGCCAACTTGGCCTGCTCCATGTCCAACAATGAGGAAGGGGTGAAACTGGTGCGCCTGGCTGCCAGCCAGATAGAGAATCTGTGCCCACAGGTATGGCTCCTGTATATGTTTTTGCTGTATATGCTCTATAATGTTAAGGTCTCTATATGTGGAGATGAAAAAAATTAGGGACGTTAATCATGCATGAAAAGCATTACAGTATTACGTTTGTTCGATGTTAAAGATTCTAAATATAACATCCAATTTGGAGATTTGAGAAGTAGTTCGGAAATAAGAAAATATGTTTGAAACAAAGTTTGAATCATTGTGACCTTGTGTATGATAATTTTATGAAGTATCAATATTGTTGCATCATTATTGGCATATTTGCAGGTTATCAATGCTGCCCGCATCCTGGCAGCTAGACCACGCTCCAAGGTTGCCATGGAGAACATGGATGTGTTCAAGGATGCCTGGGAGAAACAAGTCCGTGTATTGACAGAAGCTGTGGATGATATCACAACCATTGATGACTTCTTGGCTGTCTCAGGTAAATTTAAGGCTGGACTGATGTCTTCTTTTTGTTGTTAAAGTGAAAAAAGATGTGAGTAATGGGTATTGAAAAGAAGAAGAAAAGACCCAGTTCACTCTGCATTTCATTTGTTTTCATTTATTATGCAATTTTAAAAACCCGAAGTATTGTGAAAGAAAATTAATGTCTTACTTTAGACTAATGTATGATTACTCACCTATGGTCAGAATGGTTCTCAGGTTAAGACCACATGACTCCCTGCTAGTGCAATGTTGACATAATCTTTCATTTGTCATCCAGAGAGCCACATACTGGAAGATGTGAACAAGTGTGTCTTGGCACTACAAGAGAGCGACGCTGATACACTGGATCGTACAGCTGGTGCCATCAGAGGGCGATCTGCTCGTGTCTGCAATGTGGTCACTGCAGAGATGGATAACTATGAACCTGGCATTTACACCGAGAGAGTGATGGAGGCTGTGGTGATGCTCAGAGATCAAGGTACAAAACTAATGCCACGTTGTTCAAATGTTATACCAAAAGCCTGAATCTGCAATTATAAAACTTGAATTTCAGATGTATTTAGGTGTTCTTTCAGTTCTGAGTCAGTATACTGTTTATAAGTGAATTTAATGTTATATATAGATTTAAACTATTTCACAACCAGCATATTATTTTTGAGGAATTTCAAGATGAGCAAGTATTAAATCCTCTCCCACACATTTGCCTAAAACCTTCAAATTTGAATTCCCAAAATTTGATTATTCCCATCTGTTTCAGTGATGCCAAACTTTGCTGCCAGAGTAGAAGATGCAGTGGATGCTCTCTCCTCCAATCCACCACGGGAAATTGATGAAAATGAGTTCATTGAAGCTGCACGTCTTGTATATGATGGTGTCCGTGACATACGCAGAGCTGTGCTGATGAATAGGGTTAGTGCTTCTGAGGCAACCTGAGAAATGTGCTTATATGAATTTTGTAACAGGAAACAGATCCAGTTGAAGATTTTTTTCAAAAATAAATTATTTTGGCATCATTAAATTCTGATAAGTAATAAATTACAAACAANTCACAGAGCATGCTAACAAGCTGGTTGAGGTGGCCAACTTGGCCTGCTCCATGTCCAACAATGAGGAAGGGGTGAAACTGGTGCGCCTGGCTGCCAGCCAGATAGAGAATCTGTGCCCACAGGTATGGCTCCTGTATATGTTTTTGCTGTATATGCTATATAATGTTAAGGTCTCTATATGTGGAGATGAAAAAAATTACGAGACGTTAATCATGCATGAAAAGCATTACAGTATTTCGTTTGTTCGATGTTAAAGATTCTAAATATAACATCCAATTTGGAGATTTGAGAAGTAGTTCGGAAATAAGAAAATATGTTTGAAACAAAGTTTGAATCATTGTGACCTTGTGTATGATAATTTTATGAAGTATCAATATTGTTGCATCATTATTGGCATATTTGCAGGTTATCAATGCTGCCCGCATCCTGGCAGCTAGACCACGCTCCAAGGTTGCCATGGAGAACATGGATGTGTTCAAGGATGCCTGGGAGAAACAAGTCCGTGTATTGACAGAAGCTGTGGATGATATCACAACCATTGATGACTTCTTGGCTGTCTCAGGTAAATTTAAGGCTGGACTGATGTCTTCTTTTTGTTGTTAAAGTGAAAAAAGATGTGAGTAATGGGTATTGAAAAGAAGAAGAAAAGACCCAGTTCACTCTGCATTTCATTTGTTTTCATTTATTATGCAATTTTAAAAACCTGAAGTATTGTGAAAGAAAATTAATGTCTTACTTTAGACTAATGTATGATTACTCACCTATGGTCAGAATGGTTCTCAGGTTAAGACCACATGACTCCCTGCTAGTGCAATGTTGACATAATCTTTCATTTGTCATCCAGAGAGCCACATACTGGAAGATGTGAACAAGTGTGTCTTGGCACTACAAGAGAGCGACGCTGATACACTGGATCGTACAGCTGGTGCCATCAGAGGGCGATCTGCTCGTGTCTGCAATGTGGTCACTGCAGAGATGGATAACTATGAACCTGGCATTTACACTGAGAGAGTGATGGAGGCTGTGGTAATGCTCAGAGATCAAGGTACAAAACTAATGCCACGTTGTTCAAATGTTATACCAAAAGCCTGAATCTGCAATTATAAAACTTGAATTTCAGATGTATTTAGGTGTTCTTTCAGTTCTGAGTCAGTATACTGTTTATAAGTGAATTTAATGTTATATATAGATTTAAACTATTTCACAACCAGCATATTATTTTTGAGGAATTTCAAGATGAGCAAGTATTAAATCCTCTCCCACACATTTGCCTAAAACCTTCAAATTTGAATTCCCAAAATTTGATTATTCCCATCTGTTTCAGTGATGCCAAACTTTGCTGCCAGAGTAGAAGATGCAGTGGATGCTCTCTCCTCCAATCCACCACGGGAAATTGATGAAAATGAGTTCATTGAAGCTGCACGTCTTGTATATGATGGTGTCCGTGACATACGCAGAGCTGTGCTGATGAATAGGGTTAGTGCTTCTGAGGCAACCTGAGAAATGTGCTTATATGAATTTTGTAACAGGAAACAGATCCAGTTGAAGATTTTTTTCAAAAATAAATTATTTTGGCATCATTAAATTCTGATAAGTAATAAATTACAAACAAATATTGACCACTGAAAGGTTTTTTGACAAATTTGTCTTTGTGACAAAATGTTTTCTGTTAAAGAGTTAAACATGTGCAACATTTTGTATGTAGGGACCAGATGAAATCGAGGAATCTGATGTTGAGGAAGATCAGTATGATGATACAGAGACGGAGACCCGTAGTAAGGGTAAGCGATGTTTCTTACAGAGGCAGGTTGCATGGGGTCAAATAGTTGGTGGATTGCCTTAAACAAAAATAGTAGAAATAGCATGACTTTGGCAAAGAAAGTTTTGATAGGTAATTGAGAAAGGGCTTAATTCCTAAATCAGTGCCAATTAATGAAAAATTGATAACAACAGTACTTTATCTCATTTAATAGCAAGCTACAGCAACTACACCGACCAGGAGTATGATAGAATTGACAGCATTATGGGAGAACCTTCAGACCGTGCTCTTATGAGACAACTGCCTCCTGAGGAACAGCTGAAAATCCAGCAACATGTGGAAGACTTCCGCCTGGAGAAGGCAAAGCTGGATAGAGAAATTGCCAAGTGGGATGATAGTGGAAATGATATCATCATACTGGCTAAACAGATGTGCATGATCATGATGGAGATGACTGATTTCACTCGGTAAGAACATAATATATAGGAAAAATTTTCATCATTATGATTTATGTTTCAGTCACAAAAAGTTTTTATAAGCTTACTCATACTGTTCTATTTCAGTGCAGCTTAAAGTTGTTTTTGCAGCATAGATATTTATCAAAATAAAGCAGCAGGAATGATTATGATATAATTTTTTACATTTTATTGTATTTAATAATAAAATATATTTTCAGTGGTCGTGGTCCACTGAAGTCCACTATGGATGTCATCAATGCTGCCAAGAAGATCTCAGAAGCTGGAACTAATCTGGACAAACTGGCCAGAACAATTGCTGACCAGGTATTATACTTGCTGATTCTGGCATGTGTTGTCATGATATGATTTCGAATCAGCATTTTGGTTATGATATAGATGTAGTATATGTGAACAGAAACTTGTTTATTCATCAATAATAAGTAATTCACATTTTATTCAGAAAAGACTTAAACAAACAGAATAAGAATTACATATTGACTTAATTGTTTGTTTTTGTATAAATATTTATCATGCTCTGGTCTCTTGCAGTATTTTGCCCAAAAAAGAAGCACCAAGATGAATCTGGCACCTTTTCCATATGAACTTTTGCTTTGCATAAGATATTTTCTTATCAACCCACTCGGTGACAAATATTGTACTCTGTTTCTAATTAATGTTTGTTTTTTCAGATAGTAAACTTATGATGTATTTTCAATGAGACACTCCCAATGTATATTAACATTATTCATCATTGTTGTATCCCAATCATCCCTTGGTAATCACCTTTTTAGTCTAGAGTCATACAGGACTAGTGTGCATATTTTCCACTTACAGTGTCCAGATTCCAGGTCCAAGGAAGATTTAAAAGCTTATTTGAAGAGCATAGCTCTTTTTACACATCAGTTGAACATCACTGGCAAAGTGAAGTCTGATGTGATCACTTTGGACAGTGGGGAAGTACTGTTATCAGGGGTAGGTAACGACTGGGAGCCGTCGTGGTTGCTGGGTTGTCTGTCTGGTGGTCAGACAGCTGTGTAGCATGGAGGAGACAGTACATGAATACAAGAACTAACCTGTCCCTGGCTGGTGCCACTGCATGGATATGGAGGTGCCAGCACTAATCAACCACTATAGTATCCATAGCCTGGTTTTAACCTTTGCATCCCCAGGTTATTAAGAGAGCTACAGGTGCATGGTGGTTGACAATGATCTGGTAGGGTCATGGTATTTGACCTTTAGCTCCTCCCCCACACTCCCGTCCCAACAGTAGACAGTCATTATAGAGTGGTGGCTGTGCCTTGTCCCCTGCCCCCCACATATATATCACTAACATGCTAGTTCCTTATCCACTTTTCAGTGCCCAGATTCAATCTCCAAGCGTGATTTGCTGTCATATCTGAAGCAGATCACGCTGTTCACGCATCAGTTGAACATCACAAGCAAAGTGAAAGCTGATGTCACCACCCAGGGTGGCGAGATGTTATTGACGGGGGTATGTAATAAACAACACCCACCCATCTGTGCAATGCAGTGGCCATTGATGTTGCTGTTGTGGTTGGTTGCGTTGCTGGTTTTCCTGTAACAATCCATAGTTGTTGTTGTGGCTTGTGTTGCATGCTTCATGAGGTGTGTGTATCTTGCATTTTAGTGCCCTGTTTCTGATTCCAAGAAAGACTTAATAGCATATCTCCAACGTATTGCCTTGTACTGTCATCAGTTGAACATCACCAGCAAGGTCAAGGCTGATGTCACTAACATCAGTGGAGAGCTCATAGTGTCCGGGGTATGTAGTATTAATAAAGATTGCTTTCTAGGGACTTGGGCATACGTACTGCAGGTATAAAAGCCCCACCTTCCTCTTCCTCCAACCAGCTCCCTGCTATCCCACCCCACCCCATCTTATTTACCATGTACATCTGCTGATAGTAAGTCAGGATACATGGGCATGAATACTTCATGGTAAAGAATCAAAAATATCAATAAGCAGTCCTTTTGCTTTCATTTAATTGATTGACAGTTTTGATTGATAAAATAATAGTGCTGGATTAATAGTGCTAAAAATACATTCTAATCGTTGCTTTCATGCCACTGTATCATTGACGTATTAATTTGTAGAAATGTAGAAACATATTCTATAGAGTGCACCATAATATTCCTATGTGCATTTGAGTTTAAGCACCTCCCACTATAGTATGTCCAAGTCCCAGTGTTATAACTGGGGTTATTGCTCAACTAGACACATGATGTTGTTTGCCTAGTTGTTGTTATACACAGAATATGCTAAGGTGGATTTTTAACCTTGTAATACAAACACTAATAAGGGGAGTGGATTTATGGGTATAACAGAATTTTTGATTACTGACCAAATTGTAATTTTGTTATAACTTCCTGATATTTGGTGCTGTAAAGTAAAAGAAATGTTTACAGGTTAGATGGCCACCAACACAGATGAATGGTTAAGCACACTGTCCTTGTAGTATTTTTATTTTGATTATAGGAACTTGTTTTTTTTTCAAAAGTGTTGTAGTATTTAGTTTTTATATATATATATATATATATATATATATATATATATATATATATATATATATATATATATATAGTTTAGGCAAATATGTATCTTTATTGGTAGATGATATCTTAAGTCTGCATAGATGTATCTCTTTTTGTCATTAGATGCATTTTTTTGCAAGCTTTGCCATCATTTGTTTCCAACATCTATGATCTTCATTATAATTTTTTTGTTGTTTCAGTAAAGTGACATTGATTTGTATTGACGGGAATTTTGGCACTTTATATAAAATTGAAGTTGTACATAGTGATTTTTTTTATTTAACACTCAGTGTTTTTCTTGCTGTTGTGTACAATATTGATAAAAGCTATCAATGCATGCACTAAATTTTGCAACTGAAAAAAATAAATGCTTGCAGTGATCAACATGTGCAGAGTATTGTCAACAGAAAAAATGAAATGACTAGGAAAATAAGAATTATTTAGATGCACTAGATATGTGCCCATGTAAAATTTGAATGAAGAAGCATTCTCAAGCAAGTAGCCCCTTACTGCCCCCCCCCCCCCCCCAAAAAAAAAAAAAAAAAAAAAAAAAAAAAAAAAAAAAAAAAAAATTATAAAAAAA